CGAGACGCCCTCTGCCACCCACCTCTGTTTTCCACCTCCCCCTTTTTCCAATCAGTTCCTCCTCCCTCGTCACCTTTTTCAACCCACCCTTCATGGCGGACACCTCCACCCCTTCTTCTTCATGCTCTCTCGTCAACGAAGCCCTCCTCCTCCAGTGTTCTTGGAAGAACCTCCCCGCCTCCTTCGAAAAAACTTCCCCCTTGCTTCTTGCCACCCCTTTGCTTTTTCGAAGGCCCCCCCTTCTTCGAAAAGGCAACCCCCCCACTTCAACGCAGCCTCCCCCCTAGTTCAAAGAAGAGCCGCCCCCTTCCAATCCCCCACCTTCCGCATCGTCTGGTTGAGTCTTTGGGGCCCTTCCCCTCTTGTATGCTTGCAAGAAGCCACCCCCCTTCTTCCCTTCTTCGTAGAACCCCCCCGGTTTTTCGAACATGCCCCCTTCCCCCCTACTTCAAAGCAGCCCCTGGTTCAAAGAAGAACCCCTGCCCCTTTCCAACCCGCCCCCCCCTTTCCAACCCGCTCCCCCCTTCTTCTGCTTCGGGGTGGGGGAGGCCATGGCCCCGCCTCACTAAATGACCCCCCCTCCCCCTTCAAAGAACGTTACTCCTTCAACAAGTAGGGGACCCCTACCCTATCGGGCCGGTCTCGGTTTCATTATGGTGAAATCAACGCATTACAGATTCCAGTATATTCCAGTAAAGACTGATATAGAAGTGAAGAGCACCAATAATTTAATTTGAGGTGACTATTGCAAATGAATCCCATTCAATTGCAACGTGCCAGTTAAAAAAAATACTCCCCTTAGAATAGAAACCTTAGTTTAGTACTGGATCTTTTCATGAATTAGGGTCTCACATGACGGGTGTTTCACACGATAGGTGCTGCCAAAGCCTGTGATAACTTCACTGCCTTTGCGCCTCTGGTACCTCGCCTCTTCTTGGTGGACATCCCATGGTTTTTGCATTGAAGAGCCATCATTTAATCATCATTTATAGGGTGAAATGGGAGAATTTATTGAGAATCCTGGCCATGGCTGGAACATCCCCTAGCTATATAGTTCGATGATTTCCCTCAGGTGCCCATTTTGTTCGGGGATTTCCCGGCCATGTTTGATCGCGATGGTCTTTTCGAATTGGTCTATGTCAGTCCACGTCGGCCCTTGTCAGTCCACTTTTACATTTTGTCCGCTCCAAGCTGGTTCAAGGGAGCGGATGTTGGGGAGTCACATGATATCCATCATCACATGGGTTTGTCCAAAAATGTTTCAGCCCTCAAACCCAATCGTTTATCACCACTTTCTCTATGAACATAGTATTTTTCCCAACTTTTTGGATAAAACCGTATTTTTCAGCACAATTGACCAGGGCGAAGTTCATGCTGTTTTTTACATGGTCTTCATTGGGTCTTCACCTTGCACGAGTTGAAGTGCCAACACTTGGGAACTTCGAACACTCTACAGTGCACATATAGGTGTTTCCCTCCACTTTAGACACATCACAGTGCTGTAAGGTCCGTATTCTCCACTTTGGAACACTTTACGGTGCTCCAAAGGGTCTATCGTCCCCATTTTGAACATATTACTGTGCTATGTCGTGTTTCCCCTCCACTTTAGACACATCACAGTGCTGTAAGAGTTTATCCCTGTTCTTTTTTTGTTGCTCTCGTTTGTGTGCCTTTGGGTCATGACAGTGCTGTAAATATGTTCATGCTCCACAAAGAGACATTGGTTTATATGTTTATATCCTCCTCCTCTTCAAACATTACAGTGCTGCAAGAGATGCATCCTTGATTTTGGACAGATTATGACAGATTACAGTCTGTGAGGTGTGTAAAGTGTGTATCCTTCTCTTCGGACATCACAGAGCTTAAGGTGTGTATCTTCTTCCTTCACTTTGGACACATTTGTGCGGTAACGTCCACTTCACACACATTACAGTGTTCCAAGGTGTGTGTTCCCCACTTTGGATACATGACAGTGCTGTACGGTGTGGGTCAAAAAACCATGAGTTCATCATGTTTCATGTATGGATGGGGAATGAATATCCATTTGCCCTTCATTTGCCAGCGATTTTGACACCACTTTGAGCGGCTTGGGCTTCTGACAGCCCAGGCTCTGCATCTGCGACTTTGGACTTCGGATCACTGGATTGCTACTTGGCTGTGTGGTGCTAGTGATGTCACACCTAGCCTGCGATATCCTGCGATGTTGGAGTGGTATCTATCAGAATCTATCAACTCAGCTGATGCGAATTGACATTTGAGATACATTTGAGCCCTTTCTCATCTCCGATTGGAGTTGTCCCATTGCGGGTTTCGGGTTTCTCCACTGCCTCGCAACTGTTTTGAGTGCCCTGAGGCTTCCACTTGCGCAATGTCGCCATGCATCTGGGCAGTGATGACGATGGGAAGCATACCGAAATCATCCGAAATCCCCAAATAAACATAAATAAACATCAACTATATCATCAAACATCCCATCCCATTCAATACATGGCGAACATTGGATATACGACATCCCGCAGCTTTACAATGGAACCTGAAAAAAAGGCATAGACATAGGTCCATGGGCCAGCATCTGACTGAGGTGAAGGAGGAGGTGGTCGCAACCACCACGGCAACGGTGGAAGAGCAGGAACCGCATGCGGCGCTCTTATCGAAGGTCTACAATAGTCTCCTGGTGCGAAAGTTTCAGTGTGTGAAGCATGCCAAGGCTTGCCAAGGTGCGGCTTTCTCCTTCTGACTTTAAAATGCTTATCATATGGTTATCTATATTTGATGTTCCATCATTCCATTCTGGTCTGGAATGATGCATTTGAATACAGTAAGAACTTTTGGATTCTGGGACCGGGGAATTTCCGTGGGAGAGTAGTTCGGGTCTTATCATTGATGCAGCATCCTTAAAATGAGAACCAAACAACCTCTGATCCACAATCCTAACCTTCTTTCACAGGATTTATTTAGAATTTAGGACCACCCTGCATCCCTGCCAATGTTTCTGTGACACTTGCCACCTGGAAAAGTGACCAGGTGCGATCTTACAAAGACTTGGATCTGCTTTGGGGGTCATAGTGATCATTGAGAAGTGGGCTATCACCAGTCCAAGTTGCCATCACACTGTAGTAGGACCCCAGCAGCCAGAAGAGCTTGAGAAACACTCGTAAATGTCATCGCGCCGTTTATCTTGTTTTCTGCTTGTGGATTGGCCTCCCGTATAATATACACCAAAATCACCACAAGGCACATGCCAGGATATGCCATCATCTAGATTCAACCTCAACCTGCCAACCCAACCAGAACCCACCAGCGTCACCAGCGATCACCAGCGTTCAAAAAATACAGGTCAATGTGTTGGTTTAAAGGAAAAGTCCCAGGACCACCCCCCACTTCTTGTAAACGATACGGTTTCCCAGAAACTTTCCTGAAACCCTTTAAAACCAATCCTTTCAAATCATAGATGTTAGTCATTTTTTGATACTTGATTACCACACCAAGAAGGGGGTACTAAAGAACCGCTGACCTCCAGCTGAGTCTTCTCAATGGGAAACTCTGCGGAACCCCCCTTGGTTTTTGGAGGTAAAACGAATGGCTCACAATTCTTCCTCCAGATTTCCCCAACCACTCATCAAATCCAATAATCCAAGATTTTTTTTGAAAACCGAATGCCATAAACCGATATAAACAAACCTATCATTTTTGGGGATGCTTGGGGATAAAACGGCCATAAACCTTAAACCAATAAAAATATCTGGGGGATACAGTAGTCAATTGTTGGGTTTACCGCATGAATTTTTCATCCATTGGTGTTGGATACCCACATCGTTGACCATGATTACCCATTAGTAGCCAATATTACAGCCATTGTTAAACCATTAGCCGATATACATATAAAGATATAATGTATATATATGTAGTTACATATATACATATACATATAAATAATATTATTATATATTATATATAAGTATATATATAAGTTATTATATTAATATGCACAGTTGACCATTATGATTGGCGTATTATGAGTCCCACCATTGTTAAACACCGTGGTGAAAAAACCGCAACGCGTCAGTCGTGCTGTAAACCAAGTCCTCCAACCGTTAGGCCTTCTGCTCTCGCTGCTGTTTCTCTTCTTGATCCTCGCTGGACCTGGCCAGTTTTTCTGCAAGGGTGATCTGCTTCAGGTGCGATGGTGTCTCGCTGTCCTGGATGTGGGGCTCCCAGAAAAACTCGGGGATTTCAGCGTTGTTGTATCATGGGGGTTAAACCTGGTAAAAAATCAACAAAAAATGAAGATACACTATCATACAATGGGAGCTAAGCAATAGCTAGACTATCCAGCGGTGGAAGCTGAGGAGCTATGGGTATTCATATTCCCTATTCGACTTTTTCGGAAGCATTTTGAGCTATGAATTCAGCTTCAGTGGAGGGTAGATCTGTGTTTAGAACCTGTACACTAGCACTATCCCTCCAGTTTGATCTACCCACATATATCGATGCAAATTTAATACACATGATATACACATACATACACACACAGATATATATATATATATATACACACTTACATCTATACTGTCTATACTCAACAAATATTAGCCCCAGCGTTCCTGGCTTGTATCACTCCCATTCACCCCGATCTGTTTTTTTAAAATGATCAGATTGATTTCTGTATAATGCCTCTAGTTGACAGTTACTTGTTGGTTGTATCATTACAGCAGCAGTATCTTCATTATCGCAGCTGGGATGCTACCCCAGCTATTAAAAAGTAGAAAACTGTTGTTTTGGGTGAGTTACGCCATACCTCTTTTTCTTAGCTATTGGTGAAGAATAGGAATAAGAATAACTATTGATAAGCGAATAGGAATAACCAACAGCAATAAGCAATAACAACATAAACATACATAACAGTTTCAACAACAATCGGAATAGCTATTGATTAAGAATGGGTAACAAACCAATGGGATGGGATTCAGGGCCCCCCAGTCATGAGCTGGTATCCCCATCTAAGCAGTTCGATATATTCACCATAAATCTATTTCTTAGCCTAGCTACAAACACTTTGCCTAGCTCATAAATCAACTATCAATCCGCGTTTTTTGTTTCATTTTTGCATATTTTTACTAAATCATATTAAATCATATTAAATCCATTTTTGTTAGATAATCACATCCCTTTGCATCAATTATACCACCCATAGTACCACATTTTTTTGATGGTTTAACCTTGTTGAACCATTACGAAAGCCAGCCGGTAGGCCTGGCTGAAGTTATTGCTGCGAGTCGAGTTTAGGGGTCTGGGGGTGGGAGACGGTGGGCTTTGATTCCCCCCGGTCCATGGTTCGAGGGTTCGAGGGGGTTGGAAGGAGACCAGGTGGCTGCAAAAGAGATGGAAGAGTCAGGAAGATACTCGTGGCAAACTTAAGGCAGAAGCGCCTTGTAGCCAGGCATGGAGCATGAGAAATCTAAGTGTTGATAGCAGAGCGGGAAGGAGTGTGAAGAGAGGGTGCAGCAGAGGGAAAAGTGTGTTGGATTCCGCTGGAGGCGTAGTTAAAGGGGATTTGGAGGCTAGCGGGAAGACGTGCCACAGCATGAGGGTGGTTTGTAGTTTGCGGAGGTTGGGAGGAGACCAGATGGCAAGGGTAAGAAGCGGCTTGTAGCCAGGCGTGGAGCATGAGAAACGCCGATGGGGACAACAGAGTGGGAAAGAAGGGTGCATCAAACAGATGCGTGTTTTGGACTTCCGCCGGGGAAGTAGTGCTAGGAGATTTGGAGGAAACTAGATGGTGACAACAGAGAGGGAAGATCTAGTGGGGAGACATTCCACAGCAAGAGCGAAGGAGGCTTCTAGGCAGCAGGCACGAAGCATGAGAAACCACAATGGTAACATCTAGTGGGAAAGGAGGTGCACCGGAGGGACGCGTGGTGGGACTTACGCTGAGACAGACTCCCGATGCAGTTTGCTGAGCATGGTGGGCACAGCGTGCGTCCGCGGGCACCGTTTGATGCTACCGTGCAGGCAACCATGGTACTCGTATCGAAATAGACTTTCATATGACTTTCATGCATTTTTAGGCTATATTACGAAAGCCCGCTGGTAGGCCTGGCTGAAGTTCTTGCTGCGAGCGAAGCGAGTTTAGGGAGTTCGGGGGGAGGTGGGGCAAGAGGCCAAAAACGGTTATGTTGGTTGTGTTTTTTTTTGGGGGGGGGAAGGTTTTGGACGCGCATGTAGTGGGAAAGGAGGGTGCACAAGAGGGAAGCGTGTGTTGGAGTTCCGCTTGGGGGGTTGTTTAAGGGATTTTGAGGAAACCAAATGGTGCCAACAAAGAGGGAAGATCTAGTAGGAAGACGTTCCACAGCACGAGTCAAAAAAGGACGCTGGAAGGAGGTTCACGAGAGATCCGCAACAACAGGCTACGGGCGAGGATAGCGCCGGGGGTAGGGTTTTTGTCAAGGGGTCCAGCGAGGTATATTTTTGATTATTTTTGCACCAAGAAGCCCAGATGGACCGGCATAGAACCCACACAAGCCCAACATGGCCCCAATATATATATATATATATAACCACGCTCTTATTTCAAAGCTCCAACAGCAAGAGCCCAACTTGGACCAATATAGCTTTGCATACGCCCAACAACTTCTTCCCCACACAGGCCCAACATAGCCCCAACACGACCCCTAGGCTCACTTCAATTAAGACCGAACCCTCCATTTTTGCACCCAGCTTAACATAGACCCAACATGGGTCCCACATAACTCCAACATGCCCACAGCATAGAAATGCATAGCAACACACCAGGATATTTACATTCTCTTTTGCACGCGCGCACACACATACATATATTTTTTCATATTTTTTTCTATATATCAATATCTTATGCCTCATGCATGCAATTTGCTTGCTATAGCACCCTCTCACCCCCTCATTACCCCACCCCTATAGTTGGATCCCAACTGTGATTTCATCCCCTACCTCCACCCTGGTTTCTGAGTTTGGGGGGTCTAGGGGGCAGAGCTGGGGTTCGATTCTCCTTGGTCCATAGTTTAAGGGGGTTGGGAAGAGACCAGATGGCTGGAACAGAGATGGACAAGTTAATGGGAAGACAACTTACCTCCCTGGCAACCCCTGGCTTTCATTCCCCCCTTCTCATGTTTTAATGGTTAATTCCTCAATTTTGCTGGTCTATATAATCCTAATTTTGCACGGTTGCACCACCATTCTCGTTGGATCAATTCAAATTGTTGTTGGAAAAAAACATTATTTTGATGGTAGACCACCAATTTATGTTGGATACCATCAAAATTAGTGGCCCCGCATTTTAGTATATTTTAGTATCCAATGCCTAGTAGATTCCTAGTATCCAACATAAGTATTGGTAACCAATTAGTAACACCTAATTTACCCAATTTTCATGGCCCAACTCTGGCTGGCTAACACAAATCGCCAGGGGGATCTGTGTTCGACAAGGTCTACCGCCACGGATCTCGGGGTGGCGCTGGGTGCATGGCACCTGGGCCGCTGCAACCAAGGAAAAACGAAGTGGATGGAGGAGGTGGATTTACTCTTTGGTAATTTCATTTGGGAACAGATCCAATGCATACTCCAGTTACTCCAGTTTATGGATGATTAGTCGGGCTTGTCCAGCAGGCCACGTTGAATTACCACAGGCTAATCATCAAAAACGGGAATTTGATCATGCTAGAAGTGGAGAATGCGAACATGTTCCGGAAACACCTCAAGGATAAAACATATAAAACCGTTGTTGCCTATTATAGGTTTTCCCTTGAATCAATCGAATTAGCCCACTGAAACCAGGCGAAAGGAGGAAACTGAGGAAACATTGAGCTCCTGGAGCCGACCCATCCAGGGGAAACTCACCACAGAAGTTGGTTGAGGTGTAGTTCAATACTTCTATTTTATGCCATGCATGGGCAAAAACACACACAGACATATATATATACACATGCAGTATCAGTCTATACGTACATACGTTACACTACATTAATTACACTACATTACACTTCATTACACTACATTACACTACATTACACTACATTACACTGCATTACACTACATTACACTACATTACACTACATTACACCACATTACACTACATTACATACATCCATGCATACATACATACAGACATATACACACATACACACACATACACACATACACACGCACACACACATATACACACATACACACATACACACATACATACATGAATACATGAATACATACATACATACAGTACAGTACAGTACATACAGTAGTGCAGTGCAGTGCAGTGCAGTGCAGTGCAGTACAGTACAGTACAGTACAGTACATACGAACTAACGTAACGTATTGTAACGTAACTTAACATAACATAAGATAAGATACTATAAGATACGATAAGATAACATAAGACCACATAACATAACATAAGACAACATAAGGTAACATAACATAAGATACCATAAGACAACACAAGGGGACATGATATAAGATAGCATAAGTTAACATAAGACACGATAACATAACTTGACATAACATAACAATACAGAACAATACATAACAACACATAGTAATACATAATACATACATAACATGACATAACATGACATTACATTACATTACACTACATACATAGATACATACATAGATACATACAAAGATACATACATAGATGCATGCATAGATACATACATAGATACATTGATACATAGATACATGAATACATAGATACATTGACACATGAATAGACACACACACACACATATATATATAGATAGATAGATAAGATAGATAGATAGATAGATAAATAGATAGATAGATAGATAGCTAGGTAGATAGATAGATAGATAGATAGATTAGATAGATTAGATCGATTAGATAGATTAGATTGATTGGATTGATTAGATAGATTAGATAGATTAGATAGATTGGATAGATTAGATTAGTTTAGATAGATTAGATAGAATAGATAGGTTAGATAGATTAGATTTGTTAGATAGATTAGATAAAATAGATTGATTAGAAAGATTAGATAGATTAGATAGACAAGATATACACGATAGGTAAGATAGATAAGCTAGATAAGATTCATAAGATAGATACGATAGATAAGATAGACAAGATAGATAAGATAGATAAAATAGATTAGATAGACAAGATAGATAAGATAGAGACGATAGAGAAGATAGATACGATAGATAAGAAAGATATGACAGATAAGATAAATAAGAAACACAAGATAGATAAGATAGATCAGATAGATAAGATCGATTAGATAGATACGATAGATACGATAGATAAGATCGATCGATCGATCGATAGATAGATAGATTTAGATATATAGATATATAGATATATAGATATATAGATATATAGATATATAGATATATAGATATATATAATGATAGACAATGATAGATAATGATAGATAGATAGATAGATAGATAGATAGATAGGTAGATAGATAGATAGATCGATAGATCGATAGATCGATAGATAAGATAGATCGATAGATCGATAGATCGATAGATCGATAGATCGATAGATCGATAGATAGATAGATAGATAGATAGATAAATAGATAGATAGATAGATAGATTAAATAGATTAGATAGATTAGATCGATTAGATAGATTAGATAGATTAGATAGAAAGATAGATAGAAAGATAGCTAGCTAGATAGATAGATAGATAGATAAACAGGTAGGCAGATAGACAGATAGATAGAGCGACACGCAGCTAGATAGATAGATAGATAGATAGATAGATAGATAGATCGATCGATCGATCGATCGATAGATAGATAGATAGATAGATAGATAGATTAGATAGATTAGGTAGATAGGTAGATAGATAGAAAGATAGATCGATAGATCGATAGATCGATAGATCGATAGATCGATAGATCGACAGATCGACAGATCGACAGATCGACAGATCGATAGATCGATAGATCGATAGATCGATAGATCGATAGATCGATAGATCGATAGATAGATAGATAGATAGATAGATAGATAGATAGATTAGATCGATGGTAGATTAGATAGATTAGATAGATAGAAAGATAGATAGATAAATAGATAGATAGATAGATAGGTAGATAGATTAGATTGATCGATAGACAGATAGATAGATAGATAGATAGATAGATAGCTAGATAGATAGATAGATAGATAAACAGGTAGGCAGATAGACAGATAGATAGAGCGACAAGCAGCTAGATAGGTAGCTAGATAGATGGATGGATGGATGGATAGATAGACAGATAGATAGATAGATAGATCAGATAGATCAGATAGATTAGATAGATTAGATAGATAGGTAGATAGGTAGATAGATAGATCGATAGATCGATAAATCGATAGATCGATAGATCGATAGATCGATAGATAGATCAGATAGATTAGATAGATTAGATAGATTAGATAAATTGGATAGATTATATTCATAGACAAATAGAAAGATAGATAGGTAGATAGATTGATTGATAGATTGATTGATAGACAGATAGATTAGATTAGAGAGATAGATAGAAAGATAGATAGACAACTCAAGGCTCAAGCCCCTCGGCCGCCTCTTTCCGGTCGCGCGTCCGATGGGCTTCGACCCCGTCCTCTTGGGGCTCCGTGGCGCCACCCTGCGCGCCTCCTGCGACGGGGCCACCATCTCCTTCCCCCTGGCTACCTGGCTCACCCTTGGTGGCTCCGTCGGCCCCATCCCTCCCGGCCCCCCTCCCGCTCCCCAGAGCACTCCCCCGCCCCCGCGCTCCCCTACCAGCCCGGACTTCGCGCGCAGCCCTTCCCCCACCCCGCCCTCCTCCCCCCACCGCTCCAGCCCACCGGTCCAGCTCCGCTCTCGGGCGGCCTCCTCCCCCAGCGTCTCCCCCGCTCCTGCCCGGCGGCGAGGCTCCCCGGCTGGTTGCGCGGCGGCGCCCGCGAGGCCCCCGCCCCCGCCCCTGCTCGGGTCAACGCCCGCGGCGCGGGCCCCGCTGCGATCGCCGCCAGCGCCGCCCACTCCCGCCACCAGCCATCCCCCCTCGCCCCCCGGCGCTCCCGCCGGGCGGCCTTCTTGGTCCGCCCCACCCCGCCGCCCCCCCCCGGCGCCCCCTTGCGGCGTCCCCCCCGGCCTCTCCCTCGGCCCTCTACCCCTTTCGTCCCGAACCCATTCGGGCGCCCCCCCACCCCCTCACCCTTCCGCCGCCTCTAGCCAGGAGGCGCCCCTCCACGCCTGCGCCACCCCTTTCAAGGCAAGCAGGCTCGGGCCCCCCCCTCCACCCGGGAGTGCGCTCTCCTTTACAAGCAGCACCTCCGCCCCCCCTCCCCGCGAGTGTGCGCTCCCTTATACAAGCAGCACCTCCGCCCCCTCCCACCAGAGGACCCCCCCCCCCAAAAAAAAAACCGAAGATCGGGGACAGCCCGGTGCAGCGGCTGCGGCAGCGGCCTTCGTCAGCGGCTTCGCAGCGGCGTCGGCACCGTCTGGCGGAGCCAAACGAGAGCCTCGAGGCCGGACGGGCTGTCAGCCCCTATCCACCCGTGTTAAGACGTTCTTACGGGCGACGCCCCGGCCGCCCCCTCGGCTCAAGCATGGCAACCCGACCCCCTTTTGGCACCCCGCCGCCCCAGCAACCCCACGGGCAATGTCCCATCTGCATGGAACCCGTCCTCACCCCCTGCCCCACCCGCCACCAACCCACGTTTTGGCCTGGCTGCGGACACGCGTACCACCTCTCCTGCATAGCGCGCACGCGCGCCCGCGTCCACCCCTCCACGTGCGCGCTCTGCAGGGCCCCATGGGTCCCTGCCCAAGACCCCGCCCTGTCCGCGGCCTGCAACGATCTTGGCATCAACCCGTACCAAGATTCGGAAAGCGACTGCCCCCGGCCAGGGTCCCCACCACCTCCCCCACCTTCCACTGGCTCCATCCCCCCCTGCCCCCCTGGCAATGCCAGCGCCCCACGCGCCTCCGAGCCAGTGCGCCCGCCACCTCAGTGGCATCACCAAGGGCCACCCCACCAGCCAGTGCGAGCAACAGCCACCTCCTGTGCCGCCTCCCCAGCCGAGCACAGCCCTCCGCTCCCGGCAGCTCAACCATGGCATCACGCCGGGCCGCCCCAGCAACCCATCCTGGCAGGCGCCAACAGCTGGCTCTACGTTCCACTGCTCCACGCGTCCACTGGCGACCTCGCAGCGGACACGCTCGCCGCCTGGCGCGCAGCGCCACAAGCTATGCCTTGGTGGGACGAAGCGCGCGCCACCCTGGCCGCCGCGCCTCCACAGTCCCCTGAACTGCTCATCGAGGCATTGCGCCAGCACCCAGCCCCTCACGGTGCCGCTGCTGCTGCCGCCCTCACTGCGGCCCGGGCCAGCCTGCCGCGCCCCACGCAAGTCCACCTTGGCTGGCTTGCCGCCAACTGGCAGACCCCACCGGCTACATCCCGGCAGCACCCCAAGAAGTCCTTCTTCAGATTTACGGGGGCTTAGCGCTGGCGGCAGCGCTCGACC